GTTATTAAATACTTGGTTGAAAACATCTTTTTCAACAGATGTAATCAGATTTTTCTGTACATGAAGCAATTTGAGAGACTTCAAGTCATCAAATACAACATCTGGAAGAAAGTTTAAGTTGTTCAAGCTTAAATCCAAATTATTCAGTTTATACAATCCTTGAAAAGCTTTCTCTGGGAGCTCATCTAACCCATTGGATTGCAAATCCAGAATCTGAAGCTCTTTTAAACCACTTAGATAAAGAACTGGACCTCCAGGATTAACACTCTTCCAGAGCCGTGCCAAGTTATTGTGTTGTAACTTTAAAACTTGAAGCTGCTGAAGCTCACGGAAAACATCCTTATCTAAATTGGCTAAATTATTGTTGCTGAGGTCAAGGACAGTGAGATTCTTAATGCAATCAAATGGCGAAGGTTCAAGACTCAATGAGACAATTGCTGATTTGCTAAGCATCAAGATTTTTAGAGAAGGGACATGTATAAAGGATTTTGAAGACAAAATCAATTTCGAGTTATACGACAGATATATCACCTCTATCTCAGTTAGACCTCGAAATTCCTCTCCTGTTAGGATCTGAGCGATGGAATTGAGACCTATATCCAGCTTCTTCAGTTTCTTTAACCAGGAAAAAGCTCCAGGCTGCAGTTTTGAAATTTTTGTTTTTGTGAGGTTCAAACTGACAAGGGGAGACTCTGCAAGTGACATGAAAGTTTCATTAGTGATAGTGTTTAGATCCACCACAGATGCCTTATACAGGCTAAGGAATTTCAGACTTCTCAAGCCTGAGAAAGTATGTGCTTTAATACGTGCAATATTATTGTATTCTAGATTGAGTTCCACTAGGTTTCCCAACTCCTGAAATGAGTAATCATCAATGACAGATTCTGCTTGGGTGAGGCCTTTCTTCAAGTTCAAATACCTCAAATTTTCCAATCCAGCAAATGTTTTTGGGATGACATGTTTAATGCTGTTGTTTTCAAGCTGAAGATACTCCAAGCTGTGCAGCCACTGAAATGAATTATTTTGCAGCATAGTTAACCTGTTGTTTGACAGATCAAGAACTGTCAAGTTTGTTTTGTTTAATTCAGCAAAAGTTGACCTCTCTATTTTCAGGTGGGTGTTCCTTAAAGAAAGCTCAGCAATGTCAGTGTGTGACAATGCTCCACAGAGTTGCTTAGCAAGTCTGGAAGAGAGAACAACATTGTCCAAAAGTAGACCGTGTAAACTTCCAATTTTGCGGAAACAACCAGGTTCAAACTGGAAAAAAGCAAAAGAGAAACACATTGTTCATTTCTACTCGCATGTTTTTGAGCCACACAAATGCAAATATTGGGGGGAGATGCTGGTTTAGTAATGGCTAATAATCCAGAGGCCTAGTGTGCTGATGGATCTACTCGGACCACTGCAGGGACGAGATGCTGGAGTGACAATGTCTAGTGGCTTTAGGGGGAATCCAGGCTACTATCCTGCGTTCATCAGTTCAGATTCCACCCCACAGCAACTTGTAGAGTTTAAATTTAATTAATAATACTGGATTGTAAAGCTAGTCTCAAAACAATTGAGGTTAATAAATGGAATATAAATTGTCCCTTACAAACAAATGTTGTGTGGGCCTTAGTAAACAATGGTCCTGTTTAAAAAAAAGCTCTTCATAAATTACCATCAATGCATTCTTTTTCAGAAAGAAGCAGCTCTCAGAGTATCCCTGTGTACAGAGATACACACAATTTACAACATAGGAACAGACCATTCAGCCCAATTTATCTGTGCTATCTGTCAGTCTATCCTTCCCACTTTGCTATTAACCTATTGTTTTTAAAGCTGCTGGACTGCACTTGATTTTGGGAGCTTCTTTTAAATGTATTCCTTCATGGGGTCTTTAAGGTTACTGGTTCAGGCAGGATTTATTGCCCATCTATTACAGCTTTTGAAAAGAGGTGATCAGCCATCTGGTTTCACTTCAGTTTTACCTCTTACTTGCCTCTGCTATTCATTGCTTTCTCTGCCTCTTGAACTACCTTGTCTTTCTTTTCTATCAAGATTTTCAGTCATTTCCTTTCATTACCTCCACCACCTCTTTGCTATGATACCAATGATTGGTTGTTCAGATGAGTGTAAGTCGTCCAAACATATTTACCCATCTGCTCACCTAGCCTTTTAACTTCTTTCCCTTCAGCTACCTATCTAGTTTATTCTTGAACACTTATATTTTCTGCTTCAACCACTAATTCTGCAATTGAGTTCCCCAGCCTCTCTGTATCAAGGAACCCCCTTTGCTTTCTATTCAACATCTCTCACATTTACTCTGGTATCTTGATCCCTCAATTACTAGAGACAACTCGCACGTATCTATTTTCAGAATGTTAAAGACTTCTGTCACACTGACTATTGAAAAGACCCAGTTTTTGCAAATCTTCATTTCTGTATTGCCTTCCACTAGGCAGCATTCTGCCGGCGCTGAAATATGGCAGTTTTAATTGGGCTTGCTTCACAGTTTATACATGACTTTGCCCTATTCTTCAAAGCAATCAGGTGTAAAACATGACCACAGACCGACTGCCAGCACAAAACACCAATACCTCAGCAATGCTGTTGGATGACAAATCCAGCTGGTACAGTGTGCTGGTGTTGAGGAAATCAAAATCATCATTCTTTAACTGTGTGATTTTGTTTGCAGACAGCACCAATCTTTGCAGCTTTTGCAACTGTGGTTCAGTTCCCAGTTTGGCAGAAGCCAATTTATTGTGAGACACATCCAGGACTGTCAACTCCTTTAAAAGAGAAACATATGATCACTCAGTTAGTGCAGGATCAATTTTAAATACTGCTCATTCCTATCTCAGTTCGATCAGCAGTCAAATTTGGTTCATGAGAACAGGATTGATTTTTCTGACCTTTACCTGCAGGGAATGGTCAGTTACCTGAGTGCAAAGCTCAGGAGAAAAATTGGAGTTATGAAACCCTTGGTCGTTTGAGCCTGGCCCAGAACTTCCCTGGTGGCTGGAGTCTAGACCACGTCTGGAGGGAATATTTGTACCCTCCCACCTCATTGTATCACGTCTAGCTAAATGCCCCCAACTATATTCCCAGGATATTTAGATAAAATCAGATATCTTAGACAACACATTCCTCTTTCCTCCCCATTTTTCTAACTGATCGTATCTGCCTACTTGTTTTGACATTTTTGGGCTGCTGGATGACACTCCACTTTGGCAAGCTTCTCCTGTTTTTGTTTCAGTTTTACGCCGCCTTGTCTCTGCTGCACATCCTCTTTGGTTCCTCTCATTTGTTTCAGGATTGCTGCAGCAGCACAGACTGACTTGTTTTCATCACAAATGCTGACCCATCTGCAAATAATTTTCTCTTTATTTAAGACATTCAGCATTCTTTTAACGTGCATTGTTGCTTTATATTTGCTACCAAATTAATAACAAAACCTAAGGGGATTGATTTTCCTGAATATAAAACAAGTCACATCTTTGGTTAATTATGTTAGGTCTGGAATGAATATGAAATTATATAGCTCCATCAAATGACTGCAATCAGAAACTGTGACACCTCAGTGCTGCAGTTCCTACTTTCTGCCAGTGGGTGGGAGTGTAACACATACCTAGAGTGTGGAATCACAGAATTGTGATGCTGCAGAACAGGCCATTCAGTTCACTGCGTTTGTACTAGCTCTCTGAGCATTTTGAGTATCAATCTCCTGCCTTTTCCCCATAACCCTGCACATTACTTTTATTTTAATAATCATCTAATGCTGTCTTGAACACTCCAATTGGACCTGCCTGCACCACATTTCCAAGCAGTGCACTCCAGACCTGATCCACTTGATGTGTGAAGTTGTTTTTCACGCCTCACATTTGCTTCTTTGCAAAGAGCTTTAAATCTTCTATTGACAATAGATTCTAATCTGACAGCCGAAGATCTGCGAGAGATCAAACTTACCTCTTCCACAGGAGGCCCTAAGTAATTTCTGTCAATGGGACAGTTCTGAGGGCAATGATGGAGCTTTGTATGGAATCAGGCACCTCCAGGACGAAGTGTGACACGGGGGGTGTATGCAACGTTTCTGCCTGCCACAAGTAGCTGTCTAATCAGAGGCTGGACAACCTTGCATGAGAACATGGCACAGAGAAGTCTGTGGCTGCTGCAAAAATAGCAATCATAAGACCATAAGAAATATGGCCCCTCGAGCCGGCTGTGCTATTCAATAGGATCATGGTTGATCCAAAACTCCTCACGTCCACTTTCCTGTCCTTTCTTCACAACCCTTGATTTCCCTACTTTCCCCTTGGGTGATGTGCATGTTTGAATCAGAAGGTGATTTTCAAAACAACAATTGATCAATTAAGTGCAGATTATTACAACAATTGTGGCATTATTGTCTATTCTGTTGTAAATGGGTTTAAAAGGTTTAATATTGAGAATTTCCAATAAACACCATCTGCTATGAAAATATCATATTGGTTTCTGAGCAGCGCTGCTTACGATCGCGAAAGAATGCGACCCAACATCTTGTTCTCAAGGTCTCTGTAAAAATACCAATGTACCCTGTTGCTAACATGTCATAAACAATACTGTGTTATAAACAAGAAACTCTTCTAGTTAGACCAGGAAGTGGCTTTCCTCATCAGTGCTAGACCAAGCACGTCCTGTAGTTTCCTACACTTATACAATAGGAGCAGTAACTTTTATCAAGAACAGCAGCTCATATTGCACAATGAGCAAACAAACACATATGACACGGCGAGCAGTCGTGTGGATTCAACATGGTGATCAATGGTGTGAGTTCTTCAGAATCCATTTGAAGTCACCTGTTCACACAACATAGTCAGGACAGGGATGAGCTGAAGATTTAAGAACCTTACAGAAGAAACCCTCATGCCAATTGTCACGCAAAAGAAAACTCCAATGAAAGGGCAAAAACATTTCAGATAAGAGTGAGAGATGCACTGCAACGGGGGAGTTATGACTCCCTGGAGAAGGAAATGTAGTAACTCCAAAGTGGATGGAGGTTGCATTGTGAGATGGTGGTATGTGGGAGGCACCCCAACTCAGATTTCTGTGGTGAGTAAACAAAGACCAGAAGTTCCATGAATAAAGCTTAAAATTCTTGTTGGGCCTGGGGAAGCTTTAAAATGGCCCAGCAATTTGGGCTGGAAAAGTGAGAAGTTAAAAAATTATTTACAGCTCAGACTGAGTATGGCCACCACAGAGAGCCAGGCGCCATGCCACACAGCTACAGAAACAGGTTATTAAAACTGAGAAGGCATAGGCTGCCAGGGTTGTGAAAGAGATCATGTCTGGGGATTTGGTGATGACTCATTGAATTGTCTCCATAATCCATGGCAAAGACACTGTCAGGAATCAGTTAAATAAGGAATTGAGATAGGGGTGCAATTTCTCTGGAGTTGAAGTTCTGTAATAGATAATACCGGGAAATAGGTTGAAACTTTGTAATGCTGTGTGTTTCAAGATCTTTAATTGCATTAAATGCATGCATAAATGATGGAGATAGTGGGAACTGCTGATGCTGGAGAATCTGAGATAACAAGGTGTAGAGCTGAATGAACACAGCAGGCCAAGCAGCATCAGAGGAGCAGGAAAGCTGACTTTTCGGGTCTGGACCCTTCTTCAGAAAATGGTTGGGAATGGGTGGGAATACAGCACTATTTGTTAGATTTGGAGCACAGCTCCATCATAGTTCCCTGGTGGTCAATGATGCCTCGCAGCTCACCACACACTTGGGGTCCTGAGCAACCCCGTTTTGAAACGTTCAGCCCTACCTAACAATTGTGGTTACTTCTGAAGTCAGTTCAACGTTTGAAAAATGTTTTGGGGTATTGATGAGAAATGTGATGAGGTGCTATAAGTCCTTCTTTCTTCCTGAATGAAGACAGCAGCAACCAGCAAATACATGAATTATCAAAATGTATAAATGTATTGTAGAGGTGCAGGAGCGATTTACAAGAATGGCTCCAGGGATGAGAAACTTCAGTTATGAGGATAGATTGAAGAAGTTGGGACTGTTCTCCTTGGAGACTTGAAGGCTGAGAGGAGATTTGATAGAGATTTTCAAAATTGTGAGTGGGCTAGATAGATTAAATAGGGAAGAAACTGTTCCTACTCAAAAGAAAATATGATGAGAGGGCATAGATTTAAAGGGATGTGAAAACGCAGCAAGGGTGATCTGAAAAAGAACATTTTCACACAGTGCGTAATTAGGGTCTGGAAAGCACTGCCTGGAAATGTGAAGGAGGCAGATTCTATTGAGGCATTCAAGAGGGTATTGGATGATTAATTGGATAGAAATGATGCATAGGCATACAGAGAAAAAATGGGGGATTGGCACTAGGTAACAGAACCAGTGCAGGCATGATGGACTGAATGGCTTCCTTTGCGTCTTAGCAGGGAACTGAAGAAGACACAAAACTGCTCTTACTCAACAACGACCTCATTTCAGAGCCTGCATGTGTGTATGCTGCGCACTTAGCCAGTTGCATTTGCTTTGTAGAGGGTGATCCAATCCTTCGCCAAATGGCCAAAGCTAAGATGCTCCATTAAAATAAATAGGCCTGGGTTTGATGGGCTTACCTATAATGTAGCTGTGTAATACAGAAAAGGACAGCCATAATGTGCCTTATACACCATGTTCTATGTCATTTATAATGTTAAAGGTAAAAGGCAAGAGAGACTGAATTACAAAAGGCTTCATGGCGGCAATGACAAAGGGAGTGGCAGAGGCACACGGAAAGAAACAAAACATTAAGGGGGTGTGAATGTCAGGATCTTGATCTAGAGAAGAAGCAAAACCTGACTTTCTCTTGGCAAATAAGGCAGGACAAGTGACTGAGGTGTCAGTGGGGGAGCACTTTGGGGCCAGCGATCATAATTCTATTGTTTTTAAAATAGTTATGGAAAAGGAATAGACCTGATCTAAAAGTTACAGTTCCAAGTTGGAGTAAGGCCAATTTTGATGGTACTAGGCAAGAACTTTCAAAAGTTGATTGGGAGAGGCTGTTTGCAGGTAAAGGGACGGCTGGAAAGTCTTCAAAAATGAGATAACAAGAGTCCAGAGACAGTATGTTCCTGTTAGGGTGAAGGGCAAGGCTGGTAGGTGTTGGGAATGCTGGATGACTAGAGATATTGAGGTTCTGGTCAAGAAAAAGAAGGAGGCATATGTCAGGTAGAGACAGCAGAGATGGAGCGAATCCCAAGAGGAGTAGAATTCAGGACAGCAAAAATGGGACATGAGATAGCTTTGGCAAATAGGGTTAAGGGGAATCCAAAGAGATTCTACAAATACAATAAGGACAAAAGAGTAACTAGGGAGAGAATAGGGCCCCTTAAAGATCAGCAAGGCTGTCAATGTGTGGAACCACAGAAGACGGGTGAGATACTAAATGAGTATTTTGCGTCAGTATTTACTGTGGAGAAGGATATGGAAGGTAGAAAGCTTGAAGAAATAAATAGCGACATCTTGAAAAGTGTCCATATTACAGAGGAGAAGTAACTGGATATCTTAAAATGCATAAAAGTGCATAAATCCCTAGGACCTGATAAGGTGTACCCTCGAACTCTGTGGGAAGCTAGGGAAGCAATTGCTAGGCCCTTTGCTGAGATACTTGTATCATCGATAGCCACGGGTGAGGTGCCGGAAGACTGGAGGAAAGGCTATAAGGAAAACCCAGGGAACTATAGACCAGTGAGGGGATTCTGAGGGACAGGATTTACATGAATTTGGAAGGGCAAAGACTGATTACGGATAGTCAACAGAGATTTGGATGTGGGAAATCGTGTCTCACTAACTGGATTGAGTTTTTTGAAGAAGTGACAAAGAAAATTGATGAAGGCAGAGCAGTGTACATTGTCTATATGGACTTCAGCAAGGCATTTGACAAGATTCCATATGGTAGACTGCTTGGCAAGATTAGATCACATGGAATTCAGGGAGAGCTAGCAATTTGGATACAAAATTGGCTTGAATTTAGGGGACAGAGACTGGTGGTGGAAGGTTATTTTTGGACTGAAGGCTTGTGACGTACAATGTGCCATAAGGATTGATGTTGGGTCCACCACTTTTTGTCATTTATATAAATGATTTGGATGTGAAGATAGGAGGTATGATTAGTAAGTTTGCAGATGACACCAAAATTGGTTGTGTAGTGCACAGTAAAGAAGGTTATCTCAGAGTACAATGGGACCTTGATGAAATGGGCCAATGGGCTGAGGAGTGGCAGATGGAGTTTAATTCAGATAAACGTGAGATGTTTTGGTAAGGCAAATCAGGACAGACTTATGCACTTAACGGTAAGGTCCTGGGGAGCATTGTCGAACAAAGAGACCTTGAGGTGCAAGTTCATAGTTCCTTTAAAGTGGAGTCACACGTAGACAGGGTAGTGAAAAAGGCGTTTGGTACACAACTTTATTGATCAGTGCATTGACTATAGGAGTTGGGAGGTCACGTTGTGGCTGTACAGGACATTGGTTCAGCTATTTTTGGAACACTGTGCTCAATTCTGGTCTCCCTGCTATGGGAAAGATGCTGTTAAACTTGAAAGGGTTCAGAAATGGTTTAAAAGAATGTTGCCAGGGTTAGAAGGTTTGAGCCATAGGGAGAGGCTGAATAGCTGGGGCTGTTTTCCCTGGAGCATCGGAAACTGAAGGGTGACCTTATAGAGGTTTATAAAATCATGAGGGGCATGGATAGGGTGAATAGCCAAAGTCTTTTTCCCAGGGTAGGGGAGTCCAAAACTAGAGGGCATAGGTTGTAGGTGAGAGGGAAAAGTTTTAAAAGACCATAAGACCATAAGACATAGGAGCAGAAATTAGGCCATTCGGTCCACCGAGTCTGCTCCGCCATTCAATCATGGCTGATAAGTTCCTCAACCCCATTCTCCTGCTTTCTCCCCATAACCCTTGATCCCCTTGATAATCAAGAACCTATCTATCTCAGTCTTAAAAAGGGACAACCTTTTCAAGCAGAGGGTGGTGCGTGTATGGAATGAGCTGCCAGGAGAAGTGATGGAGGCTTGTACAATTACAACATCTAAAATACATCTGGATGGGTACATGAATAGGAAGGATTTAAAGGGATATAGGCCAAATGCTAGCAAATGGAACTAGATTAATTTAGGATATCTGGTCGGCATGGATGAGTTGAACTTAAAGGTCTGTTTCCATGCTGTACAACTTTATAAGTCTACTGTTGGAAAATAAAGAGAAGGTAATCAGGCAGAGATAAGGTGAAAAAAAGTGAACCAGCAAAGAAAATCAAAATGGAGTTGGAGATTATGATGAGGCTGCATTACTGAAGTTGGTATGCTACGTTCTATGAGTCATTATTACTAAACACACAAGGAAATGTGCTGAATCAATTCAACACAAACGAATTTCATAGTTTTCCTTAACCACACCCTTAACTGACGCCTAGTTATTCATTCTTTAACTGCTGTGCAAACACTATTACTTGTGTGTTGTATCCACAAGGTTTCGATAGTTTCATAACCCATGATGCATTATAGAATTCATCCCAAATAGTTAAGGTCTAAATTTTCAACACAAAAGCTTATCGTTCAGCAGTGTGCTTCCACTGGAGGTGTATGTAGAAGATTAGCACATCCAACTGCGAGTCATTGTTGACAGTAACACTGCAGTGGAGGCAGAGTTTTCTGATGCTGCTGGACTGCAAGGTTAAAATATTCATGATACCCTCTACAACTTAGTGAAACTATCAAGTAACTTTGGATGTGCAAGGTGGACAGATGCGTTAATGACGAGCAATTATAAGAAAGTGGTTTTGTGAGAGGTGCTGCAAAATAAATACGATATTAATAAAATACAATACAATACAGCACATAAACAGGCCCTTCGGCCCAATAAGCCTGCACCAATTCCTAATCCTTATTTAGACCTGCTACTAATCGCCCATGCATGGTTTCTATCCTTCTGTTGGCCTTACGTGTGTGCGGCTGTCAAGATACACCTCAAATGTTGCTAACATGCCTGCTTTCACCATCTCCACTGGCAGTATGTTCCAGGCACCCACCACCCTCTGTGTGAAAAATTTTCCTTGCACTTCTGCCCTAAACTTTCCCCCTCTCAAACTGAATCTGTGCCCTCTTGTAGTCGACCTTTCCACCCTGGGAAAAAGCCACTGACTACCAAGTTGGTGAGACTTGACCTTCCCTACACATACCATCACTAACAAGTCTATTTTCTTCCAAATGTGAATAAATCCTGTATCAGTATTTTCTCCAACAGCTTCCCCACCACTGACATCAGGCTCACCAGCAAGTAATTACTTGGAACATCTCTGTTTTCCTTCTTAAACAAAGGAACAACATTGGACATTCTCCAGTCCTCTGGAACCTCACCTGAGGCCAAAGAGGATGTAACAATATCTATTAGGGCCCCAGCTATTTCCTTTCTTGACTCCCACAGTATCCTGGGATAGATCCTGTCTGGCCCTGGGGACTTGTCTACCTTAATGTATTTCAATGTCACCCAACACTTCCTCCTTCATTATGTTGATCTGCCCAAGAGTATTCACATACTTTTTCCTAACCTCAACATCTGTCATGTCTGTCTCTTTGGTGAATACGGATGTAAAGTACTCAGTAAGGATGTCACATATTTCCTCTGGCTCCAAATATAACCTTCCTCCTTTATCCTTGAGTGAGCCTACTCTTTCCCTAGCTACGATCTTGCTCCTAATACATGTATAAAATGCCTTGGAATTCTTCTTAACCCTGCTGGTCAAGACATTTCATAGCCTCTTTTAGTCCTCCCAACTCCCTGTTTGAGTTCCTTCCTACTTTCTCTATATTCTTCAAGAGTATTATTACATTCTTTTTAAAGCCAGCTGTCGACGTACTAACTCTCACCTGAAGATTTGTGAAAGGGTCGCCTGTGATCTCCTTGATTCTATTGAACTGTATGTACAGCTCAGTCAGGTTGCTACAGTACGAGAAGTAATGTACAGACAACTGAGACAACTGATTGTGTTCAAGCCCCAGCGTTTGTAGGAATGGAAGAACTTTGCAAAGGTTTTCTTCGATTTTAGTAATGACATTATAGCCAGAATCCAAAGCTTGAAGCTGACTGTACCGAGACAGTGCAGAAGCTGGCAAGTGCTTCAGTTGGTTATGGGAGAGATTTAGCACTGTGATGTTGACTGGAAGGTCAGAAGGGACGCTTGAGAGCTTTAAGTGACGACAATCCACAACCAGATCCTGTATTTTACACTGAGTTCCAGAGGCTCGAGCACCATAATACCATATGGCAAATGCAAAATACAAGGTGATAGCCTGGAAATACATTTTCATTCTTCAAATGGGAAATCTTCAAGCTTTTGTTCTACACAAAAAAAGGAACACATGTTAACATTGCAGTCTCTTAGTTCAAATTGTGTTTAAATTGTGCCCATGGCATGTAATCAAAATTGATTGCTATTGTAAAAGGTTTTTTGAATGAAAGCATCACAGAGCAAAGTAAAACTTCATAAATAATGACACAACACATTTAAAATAATGGATTCAAATGAGAAAATGTACGGCCTCCTTTAACCTGACTTCCACTGGATATCATATCTCAGTCTCTCCTTTGTCACCAGTCCCTGCACTTACTGCCCTGTTGTACCGGTTCCCACTGCCACACTGGTTTAAGAACATAAGAACTAGGGGCAGGAGTAGGCCGTCTGGCCCTTCGAGCCTGCTCCGCCATTCAATAAGATCATGGCTGATCTTTTCGTGGACTCAGATCCACTTACCCACGTTCTCACCGTATCCCTTAATTCCTTTATTGTTCAAAAAAAATCTACCTTATCCTTAAAAATGTTTACTGAAGTAGCGTCAACTACTTCACTGGGCAAGGAATTCCATAGATTAACAACCCTCTGGGTGAAGAAGTTCCCTCTCAATTCGGTCCTAAATCTGCTCCCTCTAATCTTGAGGCTATGCCCTCTTGTCCTAGCTTCACCTGCCAGTGGAAACATCCTCTCTACTTCTATCTTATCTATTCCCTTCATAATTTTATATGTTTCTATAAGATCCCCCCTCAATCTTCTGAATTCCAATGAATATAATCCCAATCTACTCAGTCTCTCCTCATAAACCAACCCCCTCAACTCCGGAATCAACCCAGTGAACCTCCTTTGCACCCCCTCCAGTGCCAGTACATCCTTTTTCAAGTAAGGAGACCAAAACTGCACACAGTACTCCAGGAGTGGCCTCACCAGCACCTTGTACAGCTGCAACATAACCTCTCTGCTTTTAATTTCAATCCCTTTAGCAATGAAGGACAAAATTCCATTTGCCTTCCTAATTACTTGTTGTACCTGCAGACCTACCTTCTGTGATTCATGCACAAGGACACCCAGGTCCCTCTGCATAGCAGCATGCTGCAACTTTTTACCATTCAAGTAATAATCCTTTTTACTATTACTCCTACCAAACTGTATGACTTCACATTTATTTACATTGTATTCCATCTGCCAGACCTTTGCCCACTCACTCAATAAACCTTCCCGAAGAGCTCTAGCAAACCTCCCACCCAGGATATTGGTGCCCCTCCAGTTCAGGTGCAACCCGTCCTTCTTGAACAGAATATATCTAAAGCCCTTCCTCCTATCCCAGCTTAGTAGGCACATGTTCAACTGTACTCTCTCTCTTAGCCGCACTAGCCCGTGGCACGGGTAGTAATCCTGAGATTATTTACCCTGGTAGTCCTGTGTTTTAACTCCGTACATAACTCCGTGAATTGCCCTTGCAGGACCTCTTCCTTCTTCCTTCCTATGTCATTTGTGCCAATATGGACAATGACTTCTGTCTGTTTTCCCTCCTGTTTCAGGATGTCCTGTACCCACTCTGAGACATCCAGGACCCTGGCACCAGGGAGGCAACACACTATCTTAGAGTCTTGTTCACGGCCACAGAAATGCCAGTCTGTGCCCCTGACTATCGAGCCACCTACTGCTATTGCTCACCTGGACTTTGCCCCACCCTGCTCTACAGCAGAACCAATTGTGGTGCCACAAGCCTAGGTGCTGCTTGTACTATCTCCTGAGAGGCTACCCCTCCCCCTCCAAAGGTATCCAAAATGGTATACCTGTTTGAGAGGGGAACAGCCGCAGGAGACTCCCGCACTACCTGCCTGCATCTCCTGGCAGTCACCCATTTGGACCTGTGGTGTAACCAGCTCCCTAAAGCTAGTGTCTATCACTCTCTCTGCCCCCTGTATGCACTGCAGTGTGTGCAGCTGTTTCTCCAACTGAACCATGTGGTCTGTGAGGAGCTACAGCTGGTCACACTTCCTGCAAATGTAGTTGTCAGGGACACCAGACTGTCCCTGATTCCCACATCTGGCAGGAGGAGCAAACTACAGCCATCTCCAAAAAAATCTTACCTTGCCTGTCCTCCTCACAGTGCTAGTAGGAACTGCAGATGCTGGAGAATCTGAGATAACAAGGTGTAGAGCTGGATGAACACTCTGAAGAAGGGTCTAGGCCCGAAACATCAGCCTTCCTGCTCCTCTGATGCTGCTTGGCCAGCTGTGTTCATCCAGCTCTACACCTTGTTATCTCCTCACAGTGCCTTTTTTTTGGTTAGAGAAGGTGGGGCGGTGGGGGAGGAATACTGCATTAAAGTAGTATTTAGGGTTTAACCACTCCTTGACACCAATTCCTCTGTGATATTCAGACCAGTCGTGGTGACAGCTGCACCGTCTCCCAGAATTCCTCTCAGTGACGTCTCTGCCGCCCTCTGATTCGATGACTGTGTGTATTATTTAGTTGGTGGCCACTCACTCTAGGCATGTATCTGATCATTAATGTACGGTGAATAGGAGTAGTCCCAGAACAGAACCCGCCTCCAACAACTCTAAAGTGACCTTAATTCCCTCTCTCAGATGGAATCCTATCCTGGTCTAGGAGCAGGAAGAAGCTGGTTAGGGAGCTTAACTGAGACCAAAAATTAAAAGCCTGACAACAAGATGAACTGTTGCGTGTTAGTTCTCAGAATATGAAAGGTGGGTTGAAATTCCCAATGTCAAGCATCAGGAAGCATTTTTGCATGTACTTGCATCTCATGGATGCTCATTAGAAGCCTAGTGCACCAGAATTAAGTTCCTCTTCCCAAGTAAGTTTTCCTCAAAAAAGGAATGCACGCTTCAGGTTCGTGTCTGCTTAACAAAGGCTACAGCAGGCAAAGTAATCAATCGGCTTTTTGAACTTTGGAATGAGTAACCACTGCTCTATCTCCTTTTGGGAGTATTTGTCTATGTCAGGTGATGATCAAGCCCATGTGGTGATAGTCTAAGTTGCAAAGGGCACAGAGGCTCACCATGTGAGAGAGGCTGGAGTATAATGGGCATGGATCAAGGAGATTGGTAAAGGGTAGAAGGGAAGAAAGCTGACCAGGGAAGAGTAGAAGGCTGACTATGAAGGAAGGGGCCAGGATTAATTTTTAAATTTATTCACTCATGGGTATTGCTGACTGGGCCAGCATTTGTTGCCCATCCCTAGTTACCCTAGAGAAGGTTACTAGTGGTGTACCTCAAGGATCTGTTTTGGGGCCACTGCTGTTTGTCATTTTTATAAATGACCTGGATGAGGGCGTAGAAGGATGGGTTAGTAAATTTGCGGATGACACCAAAGCCGGTGGAGTTGTGGATAGTGCGGAAGGATGTTGCAGGTTACAGAGGGACATAGATAAGCTGCAGAGCTGGGCTGAGAGGTGGCAAATGGAGTTTAATGCGGAAAAGTGTGAGGTGATTCACTTTGGAAGGAGTAACAGGAATACAGAGTACTGGGCTAATGGTAAGATTCTTGGTAGTGTGGATGAGCAGAAAGATCTCGGTGTCCATGTGCATAGATCACTGAAAGTTGCCACCCAGGTTGATAGCGTTGTTAAGAAGGCGTACAGTATGTTAGGTTTTATTGGTAGAGGGATTGAGTTTCGGAACCATGAGGTCATGTTGCAGCTGTACAAAACTCTGGTGCGGCCGCACTTGGAGTATTGCGTACAGTTCTGGTCACCGCATTATAGGAAGGATGTGGAAGCATTGGAAAGGGTGCAGAGGAGATTTACCAGGATGTTGCCTGGTATGGAGGGAAGGTCTTATGAGGAAAGGCTGAGGGTTTTGAGGCTGTTTTCGTTAGAGAGAAGAAGGTTAAGAGGTGACTTGATAGAGACATACAAGATGATCAGAGGATTAGATAGGGTGGACAGTGGGAGCCTTTTTCCTCGGATGGTGATGGCTAGCACGAGGGGACATAGCTTTAAATTGAGGGGTGATAGATATAGGACAGATGTCAGAGGTAGGTTCTTTACTCAGAGAGTAGTAAGGGCGTGGAATGCCCTGCCTGCAAAAATAGTAGACTCGCCCACTTTAAGGGCATTTAAATGGTCATTGGATAAACATATGGATGATAATGGAATAGTTTAGGTTAGATGGGCTTCAGATAGGTTTCACAGGTCGGCGCAACATCGAGGGCCGAAGGGCCTGTACTGCGCTGTAATGTTCTATGTTCTATGTTCTAAGGTGGTGGTGAGCTGCCTTCTTGAACAATTGCAGTTCATGTGCTGTAGCTAAACCCATGATGCCTTTAGGGAGGAAGCTGCAGGACTTTGACCCAATGACAGTGAAAGAAAAGTCATGTATTTCCAATCCAGGACGATGAGTAGTTTGGAGGGGAACTTGCGGGTGATGGTGTTCCCTTGTATCTGCTGCTCTTGTCCTTGTTGGTGGAAGTGGTTGTGGGTTTGGAAGGTGCCATCTAAGGATCATTGGTGAATTTTGCAGTGCACCTTGTTCATCGTACACACTGATGCGACTGAGTGTTGGTGGTGGAAGGAGTAGATGTTAATTAATTTGGAGCCAATCAAGCAAGGTGCTTTGACCTGGATGGTGTCAAGATTCTTCAGTGTTGTTGGAGCTGCACCCATCCAGGCAAGTGGATCACATTCCTGACTTGTGCCTTGTGGATGGTGAATAGGCTTTAGAGAGTCAGGAGGTGAGTCTATCGCAGCAGTATTCCTAGCCCTTGACATGCTCTCGAAGTCTTGTATTTATAAGGTGTGTGCAGTTGAGTTTCTGGTCAATAGTAACCCCAAGGATGTTAATAGTGGGGGATTTAGTGGTGACAACACCACTGAATGTCAGATGGGCAGTGATTAGATTGTCTTTTATTGGAAATGATCATTGCCTGGCATTTGTGTGGGACAAATGTTACTTTAGCTGCAAAAGCCTGAGTGATGCTGCTGGCTTGCAGTGAATGAAGGCCATGCCTTAAAGATGACATTTAAGTGTACCATCAGGATTTTCAATCACATAAGCAAAGGTGTTGACCTCCTGCTGGCTCCCATGGCATGAATCACTGAGCTACTCATCCATGCATTCATAATGAGCTAGAAATACATAATCAAATGCCCAATGACAAATTGAGCCTGCACAACAGGTGATTCTGCCCTCTGATTCCTCCCTTCCAACCTGCTTTAACTCCAATCTCCTACCCTTTCCCTATTTTCATGCCAACTAATCTGTTCTGGTAATTTCCTGTTGTTAAATGTTTTCTGGTGGTCCATAATTGTCACATTTACACTGTCCCTGTCTACCACACCTACCTCCTCAGTAAAGTACTCAGTCATGTTTGTTTCACGATCTTCCTTTCCAAAATCTGTTCAAATTGGCATGTGTTTGGGTTGACATTTATCCTCAAACACCCTAAGACCGATCACCCAGGCTATCATATCATTGCTGTTTGCAGGACCTTTCTGTGTGCAAATTAACTCCACTATGTTAATGGTGATATATAAAGACAATATGCTGTTGCACAGCTGCCTACAAAACAACACTGGCCATACTTCAAAAGTAATTGAATGCTGGTGGTGTTTTGGGACATTCTGAAAACACAAAAGGCACTGTAAAAAATGCCAGGTCTTTCTTTTAAACTCAGATTTGCTGAAAAGACATTTGTGGCAATATGAAATTAAAGCAATTTTCTTTGGCATTACTGTTGTAAATATTTTGTAATGCTTTGTATCTCAACTGGACATGTGTATATACAAACATCATATCCTCCACAAAGAACCATGTTGGCTTTGACAGCTCTGCAAAGTTGGAATGTGAGTCAACTCCATGCAAATGACAGAATAAGTTAAAATACAATTGTACAGGAAAATAGTGCTCATGAGTGTGGAAACAATTAATGAGAATGCTTCCAGAGATGAGGAACTCCAGTCACGAAGATAGATTGGAGAAGTTAGTCAGTGAGTCATAAGAGATTTATGGCACAGAAAAAGGCCCTTTGGCCCATCGAATCTGCTCCTGTTAAAAACAAGAACCTGATATCCTAATCTCATTTTCCAGCTGGGGGAAGGTTGAGAGGAGATCTGAAAAAAAGTATTCAAAATCACATGGGGTCTGTACAGAGCAGACAGGGAGAAGCTGGTACCACTTACAAAAGGATCGAGAATGAGAGGGCATAGATTTAAAATAATTGGTAAAGCATAATGAAGGAAGGCTGCTAAGAGATAGCACAAGGTCAAGACCCAAATGCACTGCTGGAGTGGGCAGCGGAGACAAATTCAATGGAGATATCCTAGAGAGAACTGCACTGTCACCTTAAAAGGAAGAATATGCAGGGTTAGGGGATAAAGGTAACAGAATGGCACTAAGTGGATTGCTGACCGGGTAAGGGAATCATGGGTTACATGAACATAAGAAATAGGAGGAGCAGTGGGCCATCTGGCCCCTTGAGCCTGCTCCATTCAGACCAGGGTTGATCTTTTCATGGATTCAGCTCCACTTACATGCCTCCTCACCGCAGCCCATGATTACTGTTCAAAAATCTATCTATCTTTGCCTTAAAAAAATTGAATGAGGTAGCCTCAGCTGCTTCACCAGATAGGGAATTCCACAGATTCACAACCTTTTGGGTGAAGAAGTTCCTTCTCAATTCAGTCCTAAATCTGCTTCCCCTAAATCTGAGGGTATGCCCCCTTGTTTTAGTTCCACCCACCAGTGGAAACAACCTCCCTGCTTCTATCTCATCTATTCCCTTCATAATTTTATATATTTCTATCAGATTCCTCCCTCCTTCTTCTAAATTCCAAAGAGTATGTTCTGGAGAAAAGGCAGAAAAGTGGAGTCAAGGATCATCAGAATAGCACTGATCTCACTGAAGGGCCAAACAGATGGACCTTTGTGCGCTGCTGCAATTTGAGCTACAATTCTGTCAACACAAATATACACATATCTAAAGTAATACAGGCGCATACTTCAAAGTCTAAGCTTATGCCAAAAAGGAAAGGGTCGTCTCGGTTGAAGCGATGCATTGGACCTGCCACGAAAGCACCGGGAGTAAGAGCTGACCTTGAGTTCTTACTCACCGCAGCAGCTTCATCTCAGTTTCCAGCTCACCTTGCCACCAGGTCAGCCGCAAATAAACCCGCATTTTCTGGTCAAACTGCCCCGTGTCCGGACATACTGCAACAGCGTAAGTGCCTGCGGATCAAGTTGGACATGAGTTGCAGACGTTGAGAGCAAATTGGCTCACACCTCGTTCTGCATTCTGAGCCTCAGTCACAGTACAATCGCCGTTTGTGGTGGCATCTTATTTAAGGCGCTTAGATCCTGGGTCACGCTTCCCTTCTGCCACTTTCACTTTCGAAGAGGCGGGCATTGTGGGATGTGGAGGAATTGTTAGGCTGTTGGAGAATCTCCTGCATTGGCAGCTCCATCAGCCAATTGCTGGGAGAATTATGAAGCTTCAGGAGGCAGTAGGGACACTCCCAAAGCGTCTCTCCTCCAGGACTGCGAAACAACGATCCTTTGTGTTCTGAAACAGGGTCACTGGTTCCCAAACGTTAACTCTGCTTTCTGTCCACAGATGCTGCCAGACCTGCTGAGTTTCTCCAGCAGTTTCTGTTTTTAATAGGGAGTGAGGAATAAGAGATTACAGATTGGAGCTGAGGCATGTTCAAGGGGGCAGTTACAAATGCCACATTTGTTTGGATGTCCAAACCCACACCTCTAATTATTAAAATCACTAGGTTAATCTTGATATCAGATTTGTGTCACTGGAACAGAAGAGAGGTGAAGAGATCTGAATGCTTGTAATTGGGACCGTGTTTGGTAAGATAAAGACAGTTAGCAATTCTTAGTAACTCAGTAACCCAAGGGTGTGAATTAAGGCTACTGTCCAAGGGGGAGTTTCAGAGATTTTTTTTAAGCAGAAAGACTTGTAAAAAAAATCTTTCATGGCGTGTAAGCATCACAAGCAAAGCCAACAACTGTTACCCACTCTCATTGCTCTTGGGAAGGTGGTACTTAGCCACCCAATGATATGGAATCCTGTATTAGAAATAATGAAAGCAGCAGAATATGCAAAAAAAATTCCTTAGTAGTTAAGAACTTGAATAGTTTTGATAGGACATTTTTGTGAAACTTTTCATCTTGCATGCATCAGGACAAGTACAAGAATGCCAAATTTCAAATGACCGCCATAATTTATACCACTGGAGAAAAGTGTGCTGATTAGTTGCCTTCATTCTGGTTTGCATAGGAGTTGCTCTGGAGAAAGCATGGTTCCTAAGCTTCCAGGTAATTCAAAAACTACTCGTGCTGTCAGGGTGCTATACTGTTGGAGGTGCCTTCATTCAAATAAGACATGAAACTGAGGGTTTGTGTACCCTCTAAAATCCATGTAAGAGATCCCGCTGCATAATTTTGATGAGTGCGGGTGTTTACCCCATGCATGGGTCAAGATTTACCACCCAACTAACACCAGTCAAACAGATTATCAGTTCATTTGTCAAGTTTCTGCTTGTGGAAGTTTGCTGGAACCAAATAGATTGTTAGGTTTCACACATTAAAAGAGTACTTCATTGGCTGCAAAATCCTTTGGGGCATCCTCAACTCTTGTAATGAACTGTACTCGTGCCTTTGCATTCTGTCTTTTCTTTGCCGGAAAAAGTTTGCAAGATTCTGAGAATGCAGATGTTTAATCACAGATGAAACATAAATTCCTGTGGTCTTGAATCAACAATAGCATTCTGTGCTAAAAGTAAAATATCCCACACTGTATTAAAAGAATTCTGAAAATTTAATTATCACCTGGCAGAAACAAAGTCACAGATTTGGTGAATCATAAAGATTTACTGCAAAATACTAGATATTCAACCTACCCTTCCTGTAAAATGACTATTCACTTAATCCCATTCCCCTATAATAATGTGACTGAGTGCCTGATATGGCTCAGTTTGCAGCATGCTCACTTCTGAGTCACAGGTTCTTTGGGTTTAGGTTAGGCCCCACTTCAGAATTTGAGCAGAAAAATCAAAGGTAACACTTCTGTGCAATAATGATGTGGGAGCTGTCTCTTGGCTGCAATTTTTAAACTGAGACATTTCTGCCTGTTTCAGTGAATATAAAAGATTCCATGGCACTATATCAAAAAAAAATCAGTTCCCGATGCCCTGGCCAATATTTATCCCTCAAACAGCACCAAGGAAAACAGATGATCTTATTATTACGTTTGTGGGAGCTTGTTGTTATGTGCAACCTAACTGCTGCATTTCCTCCATTTAACGGTGATCGCACATCAAAAGTACTTTATTGAATGGAGAGCATTTTGGAAATGTCTGGGGTTCGTGAAAAGTGCTGCATTAGACTATGTTCTTTTTCTTTGTTCTTCAAATTTGTTATAAACATTTTTGAATATTGTCAAACAATGCTGAGTGCACTGTTAGATACACCAGCAATCAGTATATGACAATCAGTTGACATCGTAAAGTGGTTCATTTGCACTTAACGATAAGAGACAGACACAGGGACGCCCTTCTTTGCAGACAAAAGAAATAATTTAAAAGTCTTCAAAGATAGTAGGAACTGCCGATGCTGGAGAATCTGAGATAACACGACGTAGAGCTGGATGAACACAGCAGGCCAAACAGCATCAGAGGAGCAGGAAAGCTGACGTTTTGGGTCTGGACCCTTCTTCAGAAATGGGGAGGGGAAGGGGATTCTGAAATAAATAGAGAGAGAGGGGGAGGCGGATGGAAGATGGATAAAGGAGCAGATAGGTGGAGAGGAGACGGACAGGTCAAGGAGGCGGGGATGAGGCTGGTAGGTAGGAGGTGGGGGTGGGTGTTGAGGTGGGAGGAGGGGATAGGTGGGAGAAAGGACGGACAGGTTAGGGAGGCAGGGACAAGCTGGGCTGGTTTTGGGATGCGGTTGGGGGTGGGGAAATTTTGAAGCTTGTGAAGTCCACATTGATACCATTGGGCTGCAGGGTTCCCAAGCGAAATATGAGGTGCTGTTCCTGCAACCTTCGGGTGGCATTGTTGTGGCACTGGAGGAGGCTCAGGATGGACATGTCATCCAAGGAGTGGGAGAGGGAGTTGAAGTGGTTCGTGACTGGGAGGTGCAGTCGTTTGTCGCGAACCGAGTGTAGGTGTTCCACAAAGCGGTCCCCAAGCCTCCGCTTGGTTTCCCTGATATAGAGGAGGCCACATTGGGAACAGTGGATACAGTATAGCACATTAGCAGATGTGCAGGTGAACATCTGTTTAATGTGGAAGGTTTTCTTGGAGCCTGGGATGGGGCTGAGGGGGGAGGTGTAGGGGCAGGTGTAGCACCTTCCACATCAATTCAAAATAAACAAAAGAATAGCCAACATTGAGCTGAATAGCCTGTTTCTGTGCTACCAACTATGTAAATCAATGCAAAAAGTTGGTTGCAACAGCCTCTTCTCTCATGATCGTTTCTGTTTTTCCTTTTGTTTGTAATCAAGAAATGGGCATGGTTTCTAGTGTAACATTTAAAAATATTGAAAAGTTTAAATGTAGTCAAAATGGTGTATTTGTTTTAAATGTGAAACAGGCTGTGTTGTAATTACTTTCCTTAAATATACAGGCTACAGAGGTTTCACATCTCTTATCTCATCTCCCTTTCCCCACTTCCCTAAGTTTTCTTATTTCCTATTTTATGCATTTTCTTAGTTTCTAATTTTATTTGTGTTTTCATTATTTAATGAAACCTCGCTTCCTCCTTCTTGAATTGGCACCAACCTGAATTACACCAGCTGCCCAGCCAACTGCATCCAACATAGGAATTTGAGTTGCTGTGGCAATTTATACAAAATAAGGACAAGCAGACAGAAAGGGAATGGGCAACAGTTCTTAATCTGCTGGCAGGTAGTGCAGGAGCCACCAGAGAACCCACTCACTAACTGGATTTCCATTCTGGGTACTGATTCCTTAAGGAAGTGCAGCAAGAGCCAAGAGAAGTAATGACAGGAGATTAGGGGAGCAGACAGGCATTTCTGTGGCCACTGATCTGACTCCAGGATGTCGTGTTGATTCCTTGGTGCTATGTTTACGGATGTCAAAGAATGGCTGCAGGACATCATTGTTGAGGGGAGGGAGAGGAGTGCTGGAGGTGAACAACTCGAGGTCATAAAAACCGAAAGAACTGCGGATGCTGTAAATCAGGAACAAAAACAAAGTTGCTGGAAAAGCTCAGCAGGTCTGGCAGCATCTGTGAAGGGAAAAAACAGAGTTAACGTTTTGGATCCGGTGACCCTTCCTCAGAACTGAGGTCATGGTCCACATTGGAACCAACAATATAGATAAGAAAAGATGTTGTCCTGCAATCAGAATTTAGGAAAGTGGGTGGAAAATTAGCAAGCAGCACTTCCAAAGTAATAATCTCTGGATTACTCCTAGTGCTACATGCAAGTGAAAACAGATATGGGATGATAAGACAGATGAACGTGCAGCTGGAAAGATAGTGTAGGAAGGAGGTTTAAGGTGACAGAGGAAAATTACACCGATCTATCTATAGCAGGAATAATCAACTGGCAGAAAACCAATTTCAACGGGGAAAGAGCGGAGCTGGGCAAGGTGAACTGGAACCAAAGATTGGTTGGAAAAACTGAATAATGCCTCAGGGTATTTATCTTGAAAAGATAAATACAACAACATGCAGCTAGCATTCTTACTGCCTGATGCAAACCGTATGTGGATATTACCACAATGGCACTGCCTCTGTGAATTGCCCAGCTATCTTCTGAACTCTAAAAGCAGGAGAAACCAACCACGCCAATTACTGCCCTTTCAATTAGAGGTTTTAACCGGTGCTATCAGGTGCACTGGCAAAGGAATAACCTGGTCAGTCTGGGTTTCACCAGGGCCACTAGGCTCCTGGCCTCATTACAGCCTTAGTCCAAACTGGACAAAAGAGCTGATCCCCAGAGATGTTCTGAGAGTAACTGCCCTTGACAGCACTGTGGGGTCCTCACACCCTAAGGACTGGCAGCGTTTAAGAAAGCAGTTCCCCACCCCGTTCTCCTGGGCAGTTAGAGATAGGTAATAAATGCTGGCTGGGCAGCATATGCCTACATTCCACAAACAAATAATAAAGATCAGACCAGCTACATAAAGAGATACCAATATGTGATATCAATATCCTGGGGGTTACCATTGACTGCAAACAGAGCAGGATTAGCCATATCAATACTGTAGCTACAAAACAAGGTCGGAGACTAGGAATCCTGACTCCCTAAAAGCTGTCAATCCTCTACAAGGCACAAGACAGGACTGCAATGGAATATTCCCCATTTGTTTGG